TATCTTAACATTATCTACAAAAAACTTAACAATAATCACTACTTATCTTATTATCTAGAAAAACTTAACAATAATCATTATTTATTTTATTATTTATAAAAACAAACAAAAAAATATATTACAAACTCAATACCAGCAATCCATCTGACTGACATTTCTCAAATGCTCTGTTTTTAGAGACATCCCTGGTAGTTAAATCATTACTAATACATTTATTTTTACACTGTGGTTTCCACCCATAAGCATTGATTGGCATAGTGTTCCCCCTTCTTTGCATCGTGGACAATGACTCGGTACTGCTGCATCTTCTGGTTTTTCTCTCGTAAGAAACGGGAAAAATGCTGTTGCGTTTTTTGCTGTAATGCTGAAGTCCCGCCAGAGGCGGCGCTGCTGCCCGCGGCGTTGTCGCTGCCATGGTAACCGGGAGGGGGCGGTGCCGCGCAGCCGTCCCTGCCCAGACCCCGCCCGATCCCTGCGCGTCACCGCGGGGCTGTGAGGGGATACGGCCCCGCCGTGACCGCGGCTCCCCCGCCGTCATCACGGCCGCTGGTCCCCCGTGCATTTCTGCCGCGATTCCACCGACCCCCACGGTGTCCCCGGTCGGCATCGCACTGTCCCCGGGCTGCTGCTGCTGCTCCCGATCCCCCTGCACCCCTTTAACTGTGTCAGGTCCTCCTCCCCGCCCTGCTCGCCTGCAGTTCGCAGGATGATGCACCCCCTCCACCCCGGTGGTGGGAGTATATACTGTCTGCTTTTCGCAAACAAACCCCGCAGAATTGCCTGAAATTTCTTCCATTGCGTACAGCATCACTCTTGCTGTAGCCAAAAGTTTCACGGCCGTTTCATCTCCCTTTGCTACTAAATGATAAAGATGCATATTAACTTCCTGCCAAAATCCTGGCTCAAATGTCACCCTCGGATCCAGTTCCCCCCCCATGTTCTTATTTTGACTGATCTCACCAAGAACTGTGCAGTCTGCAAAAGCCACTCCGGAGAGTTTCCTGGTCTCTGGCCAGCAGGTAAACAGGTAGAGGAGATCCCGGATCCTTGAACCGCCTCTGTTCCAGTCCGAATTTGCAGTGGTTTGCTCTCTGCAGGGGTTCAGGTTGTTCTCCTTAGGATTCTTCTTCTCGGGCTAGGGTTCGATGCCTGATGTTCTGTCTGGCTGGTGAAGCAGTGCCTTGGCTGGTTCTACCCACCCACAGGGACGCAAATATGCGGATTTCTCTCTCTTGTGGTTCCTGAAAGTCAGGGTGACCCCAAGAGAGATCCGGAAAGAGTCTTTGCTTCCCTAGTCCGAAAGCAGCCAAATGAGGAGTCTTGGAATGCTTCCGATTCTGCTTTTTCAAGGTTGTTTATTTCTTCTTATCTATAATATTTTCTCTCTGACCTGCCGAGCTCTGGCTAGCAAGGAGGCCATAACAGTCTGCTTGCCCTCTCGGGTGGTGTTTACCTTTTACATCAAAAGTTAGGTATACTGTGTTTACAATTTATTACCAATACCTAACATTTATGTTGGACAGTGTGTCCCTACCTTAAACCAATAGAAAAGTGTCACTATCACAGCAAGACATGGAGGACAAGAAGAAAGGACAGACGGCTAAGACACGCCCAGATTCCTCCGTCTTGTACCCCTGAGTTATATTCTAAAAAACCCAAAATTCTTCTTTTCCACCCTGTGTTAGTTCAAATATCACACTACTAAAACCCTTGTGTCTTGTAATTCCTCATCCAGAGCTGGCAGTTTTCCATGGACTAAAACTGAAGCCACAGATGTGTTTGACTTCTTGCCAGGGTCTCTGAGACCCCTGCCAGGGTCTCAAGACAGCCAGGCCAGCCAGAGGGATGTCCTGGACTCCGACACTCCCTCTGTAAGAGTCAGGCTGTAACCAAGAAACACCAGTTTCAGAATTCAGGCTGTGTGCACATTTACATCTACCTGAATACGAATGCCTTCATAAAAACACAATTTCCAAGTTCTGTTACACATTTCCTTGCTTTCAATTTCAGCTCCCTGTTTTTGTAATTGACAGAACTCATCCCATCCAGACTCTCAATTTTATGGAGCTCAAATATTTAAGTTTACAATGTCTATTACAATATTTAAGTTTACAAATCCCTTACAGGAGTGAATTGCTTTCTCTAGCCTGAATAATCTACCAAGCAGGTGGATGAAGTAACATGGTGGAGTCAAGTGGCATTTTCTATGACTGAACACCACTTTTCAGGAACTCTAGTAATGTTAACATTCAGTCCTCAATGAGACCAACTATGTAACAGTTTGCTAAAATTATAAACAAAATTAGCTAAATTTGGTGTGCTATAGTTTCTCAGAAAGAAACTAAAAAATAGTAAAAAAATGCAAACCCAAAACTAATCTTGCAGAAAGAGTCCAGCTACTTTTAAAAACTTAGGATAAGCAGCACTGTCCATTTAAGAAAATCTTTTCAGTAATACCTCTTGAATTTAATTCTTGAGATCATTTACTTCTTGAAGTGATGAATCCAGAATTTTAAAATCTTTAGTTAAGGACTCAGAGAAAATCTCATTGTTATTAACTGTTAAGCTGATTCCAAAAGATTACTTGAAAGCCCCCAGGCCTTAAAAAGCCAAGATCTGATCTTTCAGTAAGATTATTTTCTAAATAAGAAACTCAAATAAGACAATAGCTGAACGTAACATTAGAACCAATCTTTGTGAAACAAATCAGTCAATTTAGAAAAGGGTAAAAATAAAAATGGAACTATAAATGCCACAGGCATTTAATTCACACGCTGCTATTCTTTGCTTAGAACATGTGTGGAGTTGGCTTTGTTTCTTTTTTCTTTGTTTGTTTTTAAACTTTTCATAGGCTAGTCATGTAATTCCCTTCTGATATAAGGGACAGTTATTATAAAAGATAACTACCCAACTCAAGGATGGATTTTTCTGTCATTTAATTTCTATGATGCTCATGCTTCAAGGCTTTAACAAAAGAAATAGCATTTTTCCCCCAAGCAAAAATGATACCCAGACACAAGCTTCATATGGTAAATTACAAAAATGGAAATTTCATCAATTTTGCTCCAAGTGGCAAGAATCAACATTAAAAAGAAAAAATTCTGTACATGCATCTTCAAAAGTAATCTTTACCTTCAGTATTTAACATACATATACACACATGGGGAGAAAACGGGGCAGATTCTGCACCTCATGCCATCTTTTGCCATCTCACTGAGATGTGTGAATAGCAGCCTCCGTTACTGAGTACCTCAGAAGGTGTGGAATTGCACTCTTGGAATACCTGTATGCACAAGTCATTGGTGAATTGTTTGTGGCTTACAGCACTGCTATCTCCACAGCATGTCAGGTAAATTAATACAACGAATACAAATCAAAGAGTAATGTGAGATTGTTCTTCAGCAACACGAACAGCACTTCAGTCCTGATCCCAGTACACTATCAGCACATCGCATGCACAAGCCATTTAAATGTCCAGAAGAACCACCCCAGCTTAACTTTAAACAAAAAGTAAGACAGTTCACACAGGTCAGCAATGAGTTACAGATTTATCTTAATAAAACCAAGTCCTCCCATTTAAGTCTCGACACTAGCCTTCCAACATTAATGAGTTGTAGAGTGAATATAACTGAGTCCAGTTTCATAATTCGCTGCACAGCATACTCTCCTTCTAACAGGAGATCGGAAAATATTTCATCATTGTTACTTATCTCCTTGGAACAAAACATTTTTCTACTGGGAGATCTTCTGTGTCATGTACAGTAAAAATGCTCTCAAGAAGCTAGGGGAAATGCAGCTACGTATACGAGAGGTCCCTGGAACCAAACATAAAACCAGAATTTTAAATTTTTTTACGAAGTTCTAAACCAGACCAGCAACTCCCAGCCACAAAACTTGGTTTAGCTACAGTGCTCCATAGATGCAACATATAATGTGCAAAATATAAACTATTCTGCAGCCTGAGCAACAAGGAGTCAAAAGGATTGCTTCCCACCAGATCAAAGCACACTTCGCACGAGCTGAGGACCAGATGTCTTCAATTTAACGTCCTTTCAGTTGCACTAACTTCATGTTCAGAACAAAACACACCAAAAAGAATTCTGAAGTTACTCTTTGCAGTGGAGCACACAGAACTATTTCACAATCCAAATTTCTGTCTAAAATTATGGGTTTCTCCAACATATAAATAAGACAGGGGTGCAGGCAGGGGACTCGAGACCAAAACAACCATCTGCAGGTTTGGGCTTCGGGGAACCGAGGAACGCCGCCGCTGATGGGGCACTTCGCGGGGCTCCTCCTGGCTGTGAATGCCGGCACCCACCAGCCGCTGGCAGTTTCTGCCCTGCTCTCTCAGGTGACGCTCTGGGGGCTGCAGAGAGCGCGGGGCCGGGCCTTTCCCCCGGCTCTGCCGGGTCTCACAGCCGCACCTCCGGGCAGCGCCGGGGGCGGGGAGCGGCGGGAGCCAGTGCCCAGGCACTGGCCGGCGGGCAGAGCCGCGGGGCCCCGCCGGCCCCTCCGGGAGCACCGCAAGCCCTCCTTCCCCCGTGCCAGCCGCGGCGGCGGGCGGAGTGCCGGGGAGCGCCTCACCTCTCCCCTCCGCCGCCCGTGCCGGGGCAGCGGGAAACTTTCGGGAAGTCAGCGGCGGAAAAACGCAGGAGCGAACCCGAGTCCCGCCCGTCTCTCCAGCCCTGCCCTAGGGCTGCCTGCGCCCCTCCAGCCTCTCGACCTTCCATCGGGGCGCAGGGCCACCAGGGGAGTGGCATCCCGGCACCGCTGCCTCCTCGGGACACTTTTTCCACCCCATCGACGCAGCGGTTCCAAAGTGTCAGACCCGTCAGGGGGATGGGGGGAAAAAAAAAAAAAAAAGAAGAAAAAAAAATATACAGAAAAAACCAAAAACCCAAACCAAACCTCCGAAGTGCCCGCAGTCCCCCCTGCCCCTCCGCCGCCTGGCCCCCGAGAAGGCTGCGCGGCCCCGGGCTGGCGAGCCGACTCCTTACCTGTGAACGTCTGCGCTCCCGCTGCCAGCAAAAGTCCGGCCAAAGTAACCAGGCAAGTTCCAACTTTCCCCATATTTCCAGCCCTTCCTCCTCCGAATCCAGCAAAGTGCCAAAGTGTTTGCCAAAGTAGGAAGAGCCCCTCTCGCCCCCCTCCAGTCCAGTGGGGCAGGCGAGGAGGGGGGAAGCCGGACTCCCGCACTTGGTGCCCTGCGGGCTGTTCTTCCCTCCTCGCCCTCTCTCCGCTCTTAAGGGCAGGGAAGAGGGTGCGAAGTGGCCGCCGGCCGCCCACTCGTCTGCCTTCCTCCGGCCGCGCCGCTGCCCCGGGGGCCGTGCGGGCGCCGCTCGCCTCCCCCGGTGCCCGGGGGGGCACCCTTAATCGCGGAGCCTCCTCGGCCGGCGCCGCCGCTAGTCCCGGCTCAGCTCGGCTCCCTGACTGACTCGCGGTCCCCCCGGCGGGCGGGCGGGCTGAAGGGAGCGGGGAAAGTCACGCCCAGCCGCCGGCGCCGCCGCTCTATCCCGCTAGAGGGCGAGGCGGCCGGGCCCGCCGCCGACAGCAGCTCCGGGCGGCTGCCGCCTGCGGGGGTGAGGCGCTCGGGTCTCCTTCCCGTCCCGCTGCCCCGAGCGCCACTCGGCTGAGGACGAGGTGGCTCCGTGCCGGGCAGGATGATGTCGAAAGTTCGCGGACAGCGCAGGGGGAGCAGAAAACGGAACCAAAAAAACCACAGAAATCTCTGCCAAGCGTTTCGGTAACTTTGCCGCGGGCCGGCCCCGGCCAGAGCCGCAGGCGCTGAAGTTGTGGCCGCCGCGGATCCCTGCCCCGCCGCGACGGGGCCCCGCGGGAGTGAGCGCTCCGACTCCGGGTGAGCGGTCTCGCCCCCGCCCCGCCGCTCTGCTCCGAGCACCGGGACAGGGAAGGGGAAGCGCAGAAGAGGGGGAGAGCGCCGGCTTTCCATAAGCGCTCCGGTTTGTTTGTACAGGCGGTCTGGAGCCTGTCGGACGAACTAGTTGGAGGCTACCGCTCAGCCTTCCACGGAAACCGCAAGCGTGAGAGCCCTGCCCGCACGGCGAGCGGCTGATACCGAGAGGAAATTGAGATGTAAAAGGGTTCTCCGGGCTAGCGAGGAGCGGCACTGTCGTGTACATTAATTGCTTCGCATTGGCGTGCTGCTCATAAAACTTAATCTCCTTGCCTAGCCCTCGGTAAGAGGCACCCTTCGCCCCTCCGGAGCGTTTCGGGAAGGGATTCTGGAGAGCGCCCAGCCCGGCCCCCGGTTCAAGACACGGGCGCAGCTCTTAGTCTGCGAGTGAAGAATAACGTCAGGAATTAGCAGAGTTAGTGAGGGAGTGATGGAAATAAAATCACATTAAAATGGCAATTATCTCTCATCATTTGCAGCGTGTGACTTCTGGCATTTATCTCCGCGTCACGTATGAAATACAGCTGCATGACAGCCGTCTTTCCGCTGGGGCTCTGGCTCCTGGTGTCCGTAGCACTGCAAGGATGTGTTTGCTGGTTTTAAAACAGTTTTAAAACTAAAGTGGAGTTGTAGAGGTGGAAACATTTTTGTTGGTTCTCGCTTTCAAATAAAGGTTTTCCTTTCAATTGCAACTGTGGCCAAATTTAATGCCTTGTTTATTCCATGTGGATTACTAAAACGATAAAACAATTTAGATAATGATGGTTTTAAGAGCTTGAGCTCAGGTTCTAGGTTCTGATTTTTCTCCAGCACAGGTCCTCTGTATTCCATGCTGCTCTTCCATGTAGTTAGCCGGCTTCGCTGCCGCTTTCAATTGAACTCCAAACTCTACCCATCCCCCATACAGCCATGCGAGCTCCAACATATTTCGTGATTTGAGCGTATTCTGGACTGTTTTTACATACAACACATTAAGTCCGAGCTTAGGCACGTAGCTCTGTCCTTTCCAGTGATCGCCCAACCATGCTGTTTTCGGGACGCTGCTCTGTTATGTTTCAGGTAATGCATCTGCGATTTGCAGTCTTCGCGAAGGGACATGAACTTCGGGATGTGGGGCTACGGCAGCTGCCTCAAAAGTTAACGCGAGGGGGCAGAATAGCATTAATTGTTGTGTTTCCTGACGTCAGACTTCTTTTCAATAGCAAGTATTCTCTTAGTTTATTGTTTGCCTAGAACTTCAATCTTCTCCCGCCCCCACAAAAAAGACGTTGCCTTAATTCCCCGAAGTCTTGTAAACCTATGGATGTCTTACAAGAAAAATTATTTTTTAAAAAAATTTTGATTATTTTTCATGGTTACATAATTGAGTTAATTTCTATTTTCTTTAACAGCTGCAGTTATAGCTTCCAAAAATTAGAAAGTATAGCTGGTCTAGAAAATGTATTACCTTTGTAGCACAAAACTTTAAAAATCTCAAGAAGTGTCATACATAATTTAACTTGAAATGAAATAAACTTTAAAATTTGTCTTCTGGTAGGTCTGCCACTAAAAATCCAGAAATGAGCAGTTACACACACCAATGTTTATGCTAATGATGACCTCTCTCAGTTCTGAATGTCCAGATGCACATGAAATCATATCTCTGATCAGCCGTGCAGTGTGGTAAAGTATTGTGTTCAGATATATAACAGTAGCTCTCCACCCCGTCTTTGTTTTGGGGAATTGGAAAAATCCAAGCCTATATCCACAGCTATCTGATGTTAGTTTAGAGAAGGTGAGATAGAAAGTTGCTGAGTTCTGAGGATTACAGAAGAGCATTATAAGAGTGTTTGGTCACAGTGGGAGTGAGGCTAAAGTGCTTGACCTTCAAAGACACAGCTGGTCTGCTTTAATTACAGCAAATCTAAGAAATGGGTGAGCTCCAGGGAATTGCTAAACCAACAAGAACAATAGAAAACACAGGTCATGCGTGGCTGATCAGGAATTGTGAGCTGTGTCGCGCTGTGTTCAGTACTGGAGCATGCATGACAACTGTCCAGAAGCTGTACAAAAAGAACTGGAGAAAAAGAATCAGGAAAAGACTAGACAAAGCCCACAGGTTCACTGGTGGTTTCCAAGAATGCATTCAAGAAAGTTCATTAAAGGCTAAGCTGTGGCTGGAGAGGGGATTGGAAGCATCTGTGTGGGGGGAAAAAAAGTACTTTGCTGATTGTTTTTCACTGACAAACAGACACTTTAGATACCTTGCATCTGTTCTTGAGCTGGATCACCTCAAAGAAATACCTATTTACAGTTCCCTACATAGATATACATACTTCAGTTGAGGACCATAGGAGTTTCCAATTACCACAAATAAAATTATTCCTGTTGAAGGGATTCAAAGCATGAGACAGGAAAATATGTAGAATAAGGAGAAAATCTGGAAATTGTTGTAACTCATTTGTAGATTTTAATGTACATCAATAGGAAATGCACATAACCGGCCTTCATTGCAAAGATTTTATTTTTAAATGTGAAAATTTTCTACATCTCACTGCGGGAAAATTAAACAACCTGATGATAAATTATGAATAATTACACTGTTTATTACATAAACTTCACTGGTAGAGCTGCCCTCTCTTTGCTAATCATTCTCTTGCAGAATATTTACCCATATTCCAGATCTCTGAGCTAATTCTGGAAATTTTCAAACTGAAGAAGAACTGTATTACTGGTTGGAGAGGTCTGATGTCCAAATACTTATCATAATTTGGAAAAAGATCCGCTTGACCTATGTCAGGAAGAATCCTTTGGATAGGCATACATCTACACTTAACAATTAGATATATAGATTGTGTTTATCTATTTAGCTGTTACCTTTAAGATGCTAGTGATATTTGCAGTGCTTTTTATTCTGTATCACCGGCACAAGAAGTAAACATATCGTGAATTCTCTAAGACATCAAGGCCACCCTGCATAATCTGTAGCATGAAGTCACCCTCCCTATAATGATACAAAGCAGGAACACTCTCTTGCTCATGTTACAGCAGAAATAGAAAAGCTAAGACTCATATTCAAATATTGGAGGAAGGCCCAAACACCCTGCCTTTTTTTGACCTGTGACAATGCTGATTAAGTGGCCAAGAATGTGGACTACACAGCTGTCACCTGATCATTTAGTTCAGTAGCAGATAACATCACTCTCACAGCTCAAAGCTATTTTTTGCACTATCAAGTAGTTAGACAAGAGTGATTTTCACTAGCTCTCTCCATCTTGTTTTAAAGCTCAGACAGACAAGCTTCACAAATCTTTCAATAACACTGCTGTTTAAATATAATGAAAAAGTAATTTTCTTCCTGGGATAGGGGTACATTTTCTTAGTTAAGTACAGCTAGTGAGTGAAAGTATGATTTGCTTTGTTAGAAAAAAGACAGGCAATGATTCCAATTCTCCGATTTTATCAAAGCTACTTTTCTGCTTAGTGAAATTCCAGAGGCAATCCTTCCTCAGAAGAACTACTCAAAAATAACATCATCTCTGTAGGTCAAGGAAAATGTGCCAAAATTTTCTTCTTTTTACATTTGGGGCTTTTTCTTAAATACAGAGCAACTAATAGTCACTTATCTTTCGGTAGCTTTATCTTCTCACCCAGAATTTTACTGATGCTCTTTACCTTTTCACTGCTGATTTTTGTCTAAAGCTACAAAACGAAAAGTATGTGTGCTTATCTATGTGCCAGGATTTACTGATTGCATTATACTCAATTATATTCTGTTTCATAATATTAACGTATCTGTAGATGCTATAATGGTTTCATGGTTACTGAAGAGCTATTTCAATTTAACTGTAACTCCTCCAGTGTTTATTCAAAAAAGCCTCCCTGTACCTTTTTTTGAGGGGTAGGGTGAGGTTCCAATTGTGTCCTTAAAAGATCACATCTACTCCATACCTTGTCTTTCCCTTCCTCCAAGGAACCACAAAGAACTGCTTGGAATCTAAGGTCAGTCGAAAACAATCTAAGCAGCTGCAAAAGTTGCTGCACACAAAATGTTCCATCTTCAGCAGAGGCTTATTATATTTCCTGCTTATTGCTGCTGGGGTGTGCTGGCATTAGAACTGATCCCTTCTTATTCATTTGGCATTGAGATGCATTTATCACAACTGTGACTGCTCCCTATCAGATATTGCCATGTTTAATATGACTGCATCCTTTTTCCTTTCTTTTTTTTTTTTTTTAAATTGCTAATTATTTATGCAAGCAACAATAATTATAAATTTTGTGTGGATAGTCACAAAAAAACCCACTTATTGGTGGATCTTGCCTTATTCACTTGATCACTCTGAAATTTTGTGGTAATTAAAACCAAAGTCTTCTTTGTTTCCAGCTGCTAATACCCAATGTTTTTTATAATAGCTAAGGAAATTTTACATGGCCACTACTGGCTTTGATATTAGTTGGAGCTTGAGAGAGAAAACACGTCCAGTTCTTTGAGAAGTATTTAAAACATTAGAGAGTAGCAATCTTTAATCAGAAAATGTTGAAATAGAAGTGAGAAAAAGGTCTGAAGTGTCCAAGTAAAACCATGGGGGAACTTTAGGATCTGAGTGTCAGGAAGGAAGCAAAGAGCAACAGAACACACTGTACAGAGATGGTTACTGCTAGTTCAAGCAAAAAAAAAATTAACTGGGTTGTAGAAGAATATCTGTTTCATAATTGTTATAATAAGATAGATAAGAGAGAGTGTAGTCTAGGCAGGTAGAAGTTTGTAAACTCGTAACATTTTAATGCCATAATCCAAATTGTCTCCTTCTACCACTCGTGTGATTTGTACAGACAAGGAAGAACATGCACCTCATACCACATTGTGTTTGATGTATTTCTATGTCTGCAAGCCAAATTGTGTCTCACCTTCTGAATGTCAGCATTTTATTTAAAAACTATTGTGTTTAAATATCTACAAAACCTTAAAAACCGTTGTGGCTTTTAACTCTACTTTTAGAAATATATCTGTCTGCATAGTATATGTGAGAAGCAGGCCTCCTCAAATTTGAGCCTTCTGTCAGGGAACAGGAAGGGTCAGCTGCTCCCTAAGGGATGAGGAGCCAGGTCCACTGCAATAAGACAGGTCCAAGATAAAGCCCAGCATAAACCCACACACTGAGTCCTGGGTCATCAGGGTCCATGACCAGCCCTATTGAGACCACTGTTTCTACACTATAGCTCCAGCAGAATCTGAAGGCCCCAGAGGGATCTGAAGTGGTGCTTCTGGGACAAATGGGAAAAGAATATGGGTGAGTATTCCAAGTGAGGTTGATCAGAATCATTACTGCACTCAAAATGGTCTCACATTTCACCTTTGCATCTTCAAATGTATTACATGGTTTTTAACGATTGTTCTAGCTTCTGCTACCTTGTAAAGAAGTGTCTCCACTGTTTTTCTTTTCCTACTTGTTCTTAGCTTCTCCCAAAATGTACGTGTCCTTAGCTGTGTCTCTGTCCTCATTATTAGAAGGTACATACAGGAGGTGAGGGCAAAGTAGTCCAAGTGTGAAGCACTGTTAAACAAACACCTACCAAGAGTATACAACCTTCAGATTTGCGTGAGGTTGAATAGGATTGGTCAGGAAAGAAGCAGAAACACAATTGATTAAATGCAAATACTTGCAAATATTCATATATTCAGTCTTCAAAGTCTGTACAAATACCGACT